TCTGGAAAACGTCATTTCCATGCTGAAGCATCCATCTTGCGAATTCAAGTCGGTGTTGGACATCTGATTCCTTAAGGTGTTGCATTATTGAAAGCTTGTAAGGTGCAGAGCTGCCAACATTCTTAAATGACAAATAGTAAGGCGGGGTCTAGGGACCACCTAAGCCCCCTGACGCTGAAGATGTTTAGTAAATGAACATGCGGTCTGAGACATAGTTGTTTCCATTTTGTTTACTTTAAAACATTGACATGAATGTGATTGGCCTTCTAAAACCGAAACGATGATACAAGCAAACGTTGTAAGAATTATGAATACATGATAATGTAGATACTATGGACTGCCAGCTATGAAAATACAGGTATTATAAACTTTGAACGAGAAAAACTGAAATCGGAAGAATAAAAAGAGAAATCGTAAGGCGTATTTTAGACGCTGATTTCGTACGTCTTACGCCAAAATCGTAAGGGTTGGCAGCTCTGAAGGTGTTAACTGCATGTCATATTTCAATGTCCTGTACACACTGGAAACACTGGTGTTGTCAGCATAAATTTCCGTAAACATCTGACAGTCTTACACTTTTCTGAGGAGTTTCAGTAACTAAAGCTTCCACTTTACTGATGAAATCATCAGTTCTCGAAGTCTTCGGTCTTCCCGGATTGTCATGTCTTTTATCGCATACTGTCCCTGTCTTCTCAAACTTTGTTATTAACCTCCTGATCAACATTCTAGAGAGCTTCTTTTCCTTTGGTAAATTTTCCTTCATTAACTTCTGAATGATCTTTGGTGATTTGTATTGGTAATAGAGTTTTACAATTTCAGCTTTTTGTCTATCAGTTAAATCCATTTTAAAAGGTAATGAAATTGTGACATCAGAGTGCATGTCACAATTAACCTTAATGACGTCACAATTTCGAGAACTTTTTAAAAAGTATTAAAATTTAAGATTTGATGTTGAAGGGGTCCGACTATAGTTTTATTGTGTGAAAACTACAATAGCGAAACTCTTCATTTTTATACCATATCTAACTTAAGTTTGGGGGAAATCTACCGTCCAGGTATTTTTGAGGGACCGTCTCAAAATACAGGTACCTTTACTATAGGATTACATAGGGAAATGCCAATTTTTAGCACTATAAAGCAAATTATACAAATACTACAATAGACATTTTGTTCAAACTATGATATTTGATAAGTAATATTATATAATACAGTATATCTAAGAATCACAAAATTCTACCGTCTTGTTACCAGAGGGGGCATCTCAAAATGCAAAAAATTAGCAAATCTTACTATTTTTTTTAGAGAATTACAAAATATGACGTACACAATGGATTCACATGAAAACATAATAAAAATATTGGAGATATTCTCAAATTTCTATGTTTTAAATTTCAAAAGCGTATGTTTATTACTTTTTCTTAAATAATATTTTTATTACCCCTTTCTTTAAGAGCTACAGATTATCATAACGTCAAAAACACACTGTAACGACGTCAACCTACCTTTCATTTGCAAAATCGGTTAAAAAATCAGTTATATCAAATTGTAATTACATTTTTATACCTATAATTTCTTAATTTTCTTTAATTTTAATAATTAAGCGAAAAAAGTTGCATTAAAACAGTAAATACGCTTCATTTTACTATGATGTGCGAAATATTGCGCAATGGAAACTATAGTTGATATATAAATTGATATATAATTTGTGTAAAAAGAATGATAAATATCAAAGATATTTAAATTTTAAAATGTAACATATATTATGAAACACCCTGTATCTCAGAAAAAGCGTCGTGACCAATCGGAGAACTTTAAAATGCCAGGTCATACATGTATAATAAACTTAATACGTACAAAATAAATTGCGCAAAATGAATCAAGACCCCCCCCCCCCCCGATATGTTCTTCAACCTTCACAAAACAAGGTTTGGTGCGCAAAATCTTCCTTGGAAAAAGAGGAAAAGAAGTCCTTTCAAGTTCGATTTCTAAAAGGGGCTTTAAATTAAAAATATATATATATATAGGGATTTTTCTGAATAAGTCATTTTATTACATGTACATATCTCTCTATTTCAGATTTTACTATTGGAGGCGCTGAAATCCAATAGAACCGATTACGTCAAAGTACTTATGGATCACGGTGTATCTGTTAAAATGAAGGACATACCAGTTTTGTACAAATCGGTACGTTTGTGCTTCATTGCTTTATACGAATATCGGCGGGTGAAGTGTGTTATAGACAAGATAATCCTTAATTTCTTACTTCATTATATATAACGAGGACCACAGACACATGTGTTGTATATAGGGTGCTCCGTACATATTCTTACCTCAAATAGCAATGTAAACTAATTACAGATACTCTAACTTCTACCTCATATGTTGTCGAAAACATCTGACGTTTCAAGCCTTTTTTTCAAAATATTTCTAATTATCGATATTCTACAATCGTCAAATTTAATTATTATAAAATATATTTTGATACCGATATCAATAATTATCCGTCTAAAACAATTTTAAGGAATCCATTTTTTATCAAGTTATTTCTGCGTTAACATCGTACAAGTAAATCTAAAAATACTTCAATCTTAGTATTTCTATTCTCGACAGATGTAGGGTTAGGTTGTTGTACTTGTTGTACGTGTGTAGTTGTGTGTATTTAACTGATTTAGACTTCTTGTAATTTCAAGTTTCAAAGTATTTCTTCTCAGACTATAAGCTGCCCGAAGCATGGACCAAAAGTTAAAGACTGCAACTGCTTAGGAATGATGTGGCTAATGAAGGTAAGGCGAAACTAGAAAACGCCTTTGAGACATGTTATAAAGAAAAAAAATGTATTAATAAAAGATTAGGTTCTTTGAAAATTTCTTTCGGCGTTTTTTTTTAAATTAAATAGCCACAAACAGGACTGTATCGTCAGAGTTACATGTAATATTCATATCTTATAGTCAATAAACAAAGAAGAGGCCGAGAGATGTTTCAAAAAGAGCGATGTAAAGAAGGGTCTTCTAGCACCACAGACCATATGCAGAGAACTTCTCGATTACCAAAGTAGACATGATTTATTATTTTCTTCCATAACTATATTATACACGTTGATTAGTTCGTATATGTAGCGAAGTGATTAGAGCGTCTGGTTTAGAGTCGCAGAGAATGGAACTGATCCTTACGTAGCGAGATCGAATCCACTTTGGGGCGCGGAGAACTGTCTTTCAATAAACCTTTATAAACCGAGTTCCGTGTCGCTGTACAAAAATGAAGATGTTAGCGCCAAAGATCCCCTCCCAGCTAATTGACCCCGATTGCCGATTTTATGTTAAATTTTGTAGTCGTTCACAGGCAAGTAGCGGTCACTCCATATCAGTGACAAATTCTTAAGAAGGACGATATTATATACATGTATAACAATATTTCGGAGAATTGTCCAAAATCTACATGTTTTGCAAATTAGACTTTTATATCAATACGTCGTACAGCAGACCAGTTTAATCTTACGATTTTAAAATACGTCTCACGTTTTGCTATTATGAAAATACGGAAATCTGAAAAACGTTCCTTTGGAATTAAACAGTTGATTTTCATTATGATTTGTTTTATTTTCACGCTTTTTAATTGCTAAAAAGAGAAAGATTTCAAACATATTAGTGTTGCCCAAGTGCTCTGTATTCTACAATGACATAGATTATGTTGTTTAACCATGTTTTTTTAAGGCCATTCCAAGTTTTTTCTCTGTTTAGCGTCTACCCATCTTTCGAAAACTTACCTACCTATTCGCAAAAAACACACAAGCCAAAACATAAAACACAGGATTAAAAGTCATAAAAATGACGCCCTTCAAATGATTTGATCTAACTTATATGTAACTGCTTTAATACAAGAAATGTCTATGCTTAAGCAAAAACAAGGGATTAAATGCTTACAATACACTCAATATAACTTACTGTACAGAATTATTTGGAGAAATTGACAAAATGAAAAAAATTCGACTAAATTAATCATTTTCAGGACTACTGATGTTGTGTGTTTTTTCTTATATGGGGTGTCAAAAACCAAGGCGCACGCGGACGCTAAACATAAAAAAAACTTGGAATGGCCTAATCGGAAAAGCAGTTGTTCTCTATAAATATATGGACAATCAATGGAAAGTGAAATCTTACTGGCAAATGCCAAATCTCACGGACAAATCTAATCAAATATACTGTGAGACAACGATATGGGTAAACAGGTCTGCTAAACTGATGTGTTTCTCAATTTTTATATTCATTTAAATTGTTTTTAGAAACTATTCTAAATTATTTGAACCATAAAAGAAAATAAGGATTTAAATGGTATGTACCAGTAGTGACAATTTGGAGGAGTAGGGATGTCTTTAAGTCTTTGATATTTTTCAGGCTTCAGAACTGCAAAAGGAGAACTGGTGCGGGCCATATTATTTCCCAAACCGTTGGACTTCAAGTTCTACCGAGATGCCATGAAATTCATTTTATTCCTGGGGTGTATGGCAGCCCTGGGAATGACCTATAGCATTGTTATCTACGTAAAACAAGGGGTCAGTAATTAACTGCTTTATCATAAACCAGTAAAAATCCTCTTATTCTTGGTTATTCAAGTATATGATTTAGATTATTTAACACATTTTTTAAAGTACTTTTTGGGACATGCCTATCAAAATGTATTGTAGACATACCCTTTGTCCATGTGGAATTCCTTTTCACCTATCACAAAGAACAAGGGCCACTTAGGGCCTTTTTTTTGGTAAATTTCTGAAAAATCAAAACTGCTTAGTTTTGGTTGACAGTGCAGTTTTCATCACTTACACCCTTGGTGACCATGTATCTACTGAACATATGATGTAATTTTCTCTCTATTCAAAGCATCATGCTGCTGTTGTAGGTTTACCCAATCAGAATTGTTGTTAGGGTCCTGGATATCATCACCATCATTGTTCCTCCTGCTTTACCAGCAGCCATGACAGTGGGGACCGTGTTTGCTCAGGGTCGGTTGAAGAAGAAGGGAATCTACTGCATCAGTCCTCCTCGAATTAACTTCTGTGGGAGGCTGGATGTCTTCTGCTTTGATAAAGTAAGTATAATTTGTACATACATGTAGCTTAAACCATAAACAAAATGATTCCGAACCTTGCTTTCATAGGGAAATCTTCTGCAGAAATAACATTGCTCTGATTTTATATGTTTTAGACTGGTACTCTGACAGAAGATGGACTAGACATGTGGGGAGTACTGCCAATTAAAAACCAGGGGTACCAGTTTAATTCATAATCTTCATTTTGTAAAAGAACTATATGCGGTATATTGCATATATTTGCCCCCACAAAAGCCAAATTTTGAAAACTTCCTGAAATGTGCTGAATTCTATAAATTGTTTGAGAAATATGAATTAACAGAAAATATTATATTGTCAAAGCAGTGTATTCACAATTTTTGTTTTTATGACGTCACAAACTAGTCCGATTTGATATCCTTTTTCAGAAACAGGACAAAATGGACAAAATATCAACAATTTAAAATCTATAGAGCGCAAGTTTGTTCAGGAACAATATTGACATATTTCATTGATATTATCATTCTACACATTATATCAAAATATTGATCCTGAACACACATGCGCTCGGTGACTTTTACTCAAAATATCGACGAAATATGTACATTTTTCTGTAAAATTCATAAAAAACTGAAAATTATGTCATGTTTGTGACGTCATTACGTACATGTGGCGTCATTACTTATGAAAATATTCGGTGCTTTGAAGTCAGCATATACTCCCCTGTTTAAGAACTTAATTAAATATATCTCCATCAAAGTTTGATTTTGGGGGGCAAATATTAATTAAATATATCTCCCTCAAAGTTTGATTTTGGGGGGCAAATATTGGTTATTACCGAATAAAGTTCTTTATTGAACATTTTATTAGATATATAACATCAAAACCATATTTTAAACTTTCTGTCTAACTTCTATAAATAGGTTTTGTGGTGTGGAGGAGGATCCATCTAAGTTAGAGGTGGGGCCCTTTATCACCTGTATGGCCACCTGTCACTCCCTGACTGTGATAGACGGGGAACTCTCAGGGGATCCTCTAGATCTCATCATGTTCAACTCCACGAAATGGGTAACCTATATATCTAGTACATAAACTACATTAAATAACTGATTTGGTACTCAGTGTTTTTTGGCAACCTTTCTTAGAGAGCAAAAAAATCACATTGTCAATTAGACTATGTTATTGTATAAGAATTTATCACCATTACTTGATATTAACCAATAAGAACAATAAGAGATGTTATAAAGTCTGTCTTGTACAATCTCTGTAGGTTTTGGATGAACCAGGGAAGGATAGCAGTAAATTTGACACCATCATGCCTACTGTGGTGAGACCTTGTACCAAGGACACCTTCACTGCTGAAGTAAGTAGAAGTTCTCTTGTCAGGTTATCTAAATATATATATTTCTGATGTAATGAATGGATTAACATGTATCTAACCATTTTAGTGTGTTGTTTTAAGAAATAATAGAAGGGTGACAATTTGCTCCTATTTTCCAGAACCCGTTTGAGGTTGGGATCATTAGACAGTTCACGTTTTCCTCTTCTGTCCAGAGAATGAGTGTGATCACGCGTACACTGAGTGAGGAGGGGATGGAACTCTACTGTAAAGGGGCACCAGAAAAGATCGCCTCCCTTTGTCTGCAAGACACTGGCAAGTCTTAACTTACTAGAACTTATCAACTTAGTATCTTGGAAATAATTAAAGTGTTTCTAGTGGCTAATTAGATTTATTTCTTTTTGATATTGCAGTTCCACATGAGTTTCCAGATATCCTTCATCGGTACACTATTCAGGGTTACAGAGTCATAGCATTAGCTTACAAAAAACTGGACCCTAAACTCACCTGGCATCAGGCTCAGAGAATATCCAGGTAAATAAAAGGCACTGAATGATGGATCTACTCAGGAAGTAACAACATCATCAGCATTCCTTGAAATAAAGTGAAATTTTTCCTTGCTTGGATAGATTGCAGGTTTAAACTGATATAGATGTTTTTTGTTTTTTTTTTTTGGTTTCAGGGATAAAGTGGAATTTGACATGAATTTTCTGGGAATGATTGTTCTACAAAACAAACTCAAACTACAAACAAAACCTGTCATCCACAAACTGAGGGATGCTAAAATTAGGACTGTAATGGTTACAGGTAAGGTGCCATAAGGTCCAAATCCATGCTGAATTACTCATATATTAAATTGTAGATATATGCATATCATTTGTCAGGAAGATTGTTCTGCATTTGTTCACATGCAGTGGTGTTGATGAATATAAGTCCACATTTTTAAAAAATTTTTTACTTAAAAGGTGACATGATTCAGACAGCCATTAGTGTTGCTAGGAATTGTGGGATGGTTCCCACTAAGGACCGAATTATTATTGTGGAGGCCTCCCCTCCTGATGCCCACAGTCCGGCCAGTATTAAGTGGGTCATGGCAGAGACACCTGATGAGGGAACTGATACATATACTGACTCGGACTATAATGAGGTCAGAGTTCACTTCAGTACCAAGAGGTCAAAGTTCAAAATTTGAATAAATCTTACTAGCTAGAAAGATTCAAAATCTGTGTTCCTAGAAACGGAGAAATATCGACGAGTCTTGCAACCAAAGTTAAAACGCAAATAATACATGTGCAAACCATTTATTTTGCCTTATATTTGTAGAGAATGTTTCCTTAGTTGCAAAAAATAATTGTAGATCACTTACCGATGTTTTAATGTTCCTTGTAACCAACCAATAATTTGTATAAAATCTTTAAAAAACCAATTTAGATAAATTTATCGAGTTATTGATTAAACATTTTTACAGTCCTTTTAACGAATAGTCAATGTTTTGCTCATGAACTTTAATTTCTTTATTGTCATTAATTTTTTCATCAATTTTTATAATTTTTTCAGTCTGTATTCAATAAACCAGGCAAAGTATTGACATCTCCACTGTCAAAATATGTCTTCAACTATGTAAGTATAATTACCATGTAAACGGTTCAGAATTGATACTCTGTAACAGTGTCCTTCCGATACATTTCTCATCAAAATTTGTGTTATCATGAGGATTTGCAGCATATGGCAACTTGAGGATTTGCAGCATATGGCAACTTGGGCTTTGTAAATATCTTCCCTAACTGTACCAATTCAAAAAAGGTGCATTTGAAGGAGCACTGACCGACTACATGGACGATTAACTTGACATAAACCCAGATATGCATGTTTAGTAGGGTTTTCTTCCTTGCAGTTTCTGTTCTTGACAATGCTGATCAGCTACAGCGCCTTTGTAACGACAAGTATTGGTACAACTTATTACGTCCGAGACATTGCAAGAATTTTTGAATATTACGTCTACTTCTGGGGATTTGGCGATTTACTGGAGGAATTTTTCAGTTGCTTTGTAAGTACATGCAGTGATTCACAGTCTCAAAATCTAAGATCATACATGCATGCAAAACAGATGTATAAAAAAAAAATGATGGCACATCGTGTATTAATTTTTTTTACATCTACTGAAACTATACCTTAATTAAACCAAGGATTAAATTCCCAAGGATTAAAGTTTTCAAATATGTTGATGCCCCCCATGGTTCGGGGGTATATAGTCTTTGTCGTGTCCGTCCGTCTGTCTCTCTCTGTCTGTCTATTTGTCCGCAAAACTTTAACCTTGCCCATAACTCTTGATTTGGTGGTTCTATGACTTTCATTTTTCACAGTGTATTTCTTGTGATAAGACTTTTCTTTGGGTACCAACAGATTTTACCTTGACCCCGCAGATTTACTTACTTATAAGAAAAAGAATTTAACCTTGGTCATAACTTTTAAATAGTAAGCGCTTGGGGTCTCATGCTTTACATATCTTATCCTTGTATGAAGACCTTTCATTGGATACCAAGAACTTTGACATATACCTTGGAGTTAACCAACTTTAATTTTAAAAAACAAACCTTAACTATAATTTTTAAAAGGCTAAGGCTTTCATACTTTACAATGTACATATTTAATCTTTGTGACAAGACCTTTCATTGGATATCAAGAACTTTGACCTTGACCTTGGAGTTTGACCCACTTTTTTAATACTTTAACCTTGACCTTAACTTTTAAATTGTTAGGGCTAGGGCTTTCATACTTCACATATGTATTACTTGTGAAAAGACCTTTCTTAAGATATCAACAACTTTGAACCTTTGACCTATACCTTTCAAAAAGTTATCCTTGACCTTAACTTTTGAACAGATGGTGCAAGGGCTTTCATATTTCACAATCGTATTTCTTGTGAGAAGACCCCAGTTTGGGTATTGATATATTCTATTTTCATTTTAAATTTGTCGTTTTTGTTACACATAATGTAATATTTTTAATCTTCGCTATGTTGCTATACGGGGGCATCAGTGTTTCACAAACACATCGTGTTTTTTTTTTTTTTATTTCAGGGAATATTTCACGAGACTGCCATTGAAGGAAAATCCTACCGCAGTTACAGAACTATTGTAAAGCGTTACTTAAACAATTTTTGGAATCAAGTTGACATTCTGTCTTATGAATTGTTGATCACTGCCCTGTTTGTACGACACTTTTACCCATCCGAAACCTTCACAATATCTCGAAGGATGTTTTCCCTGTCGTTACTTATCATGTATCTCCGTTTTCTAGAAGCATTTCTCATGATTAGATCACTGGGCCCTACTCTGATCATGATAAAAGAAATGGTAAGCAAAAATTTTTGTACTCTTTAAAAATTTGAACATACAATCATTTACACATATAATAAAGAACATTATTCTGCAAAATACTGCATGACTTGGATTTCATCCCATTCAATCACGGGTTTTGTTTCTCGAAATGAATATCAACTGCATTGAATTCGTTAAATTATTTTTTTAGTTCTATACGAACTTTTACCCTCCACATGAAGTTAGTATGAAAATTAAATTGCTACCCACTAAGTCCGGTTGGTGACGACTTGGAGATAAACGCTGCATTACAGTTCTTTATCACTGAAATATTAATGCTAAAACGTTTAAAACCAGCGCCAACTGAAACGGAACCGTTACAGATGTACCCAAACGCTCCCCAACTTCCTTTTGGTGCCATATTCCATGTAAGTCTCATTGATCCAACAACGTGTGCATTTTTGACTTTAACAACGTTTTCCCAGAAGGATACCAATTATATTCTAAGTTTAACATTGCAGGCGTGCGCATGTGAATGCACGTGCGTAATGATCATATCGTCTTATCTACACTTTCTATTTATTTAAATATACTCTATATTAAAGCATTTAGTCCAAAAGTATTAAAAATCACCCATTCAATTTCACTCATTCCAAATGCACGCACGTACGTGCACGTGCATGATGACCATACCTTGTTGTAGGAGGCCCTTATATCTATCTATGTTGTAAATCCCATCCTGTTTGGTTGAAAACCAACGGAGTTATACCATTTCAAGTTTCAGCCAATCAGATTGCAGCACAAGTGCATCCGCGTGATTTCATGAATTTTTTTTCTAAATCATATTGTAGGATATCCTAATGCATGACTATGTTTTAAATTTCAAAGCATTTCGTCCAAAAACAAAGGAGATATAGCCATTTCAAGTTTCAGCCAATCAGATTGCAGCACACGTGCATGCGCGTGATTTCTTGAAATTTTTTGTATGTCATATTGCAGGATATCCTAATGCATAACTATGTTTTAAATTTCAAAGCATTTCGTCAAAAAACAAAGGAGATATAGCCATTTAAAGTTTCAGCCAATCAGATTGCAGCGCACGTGCATGCGCGTGTTTTCGTGAAAATTGTTATATATCATACTGTAGTATATCTTAATGCATGACTATGTTTAAAATTTCAAAGCATTTCCGCAAAAAACAAAAAAGATATTGAGATTTTTGTTTCAGCCAATCAGAAGGCAGCGCACGTGCATGCGCGTGAGTTCGTGATTAATTGACCATGTCATATTATCTACACCACTAATATATCCTTATATAATGAGTTTTATAGTATTTCATCGAAAAAATGTAAAAGTTATAGCTATATTAAGTATATCAGTCATTTCACTCATTTCACGCGCACGCACGTGCATGCGTATGCGCGCAAAATGACCTTCGTTGTGCACACCTACACTACACACCTATTAACCCTAAAAAGGTTTTAACTCAGTTGGGTGAACAGTTTCTGAGAACACTCGCGGACAAAAAAGTACCGGAGAACAAATAAGAAAAAAAAGAATAATAATAATAACTAGAAACTCTTGTTGCTACAGCAACAAAGAAGGTCTTCCGTTCTCCTCTATTAATCTGTATGCAGGATGTTTTTTTCTATTTTAAGAAAGACAGATATATAATAAAGAAATAATAGAAAAAATGCAAAAAATAAAAAAAAACTAGTAAACTAATTGTTCAGTGAACAATTATCGGCCTTTCCACCTTTTTAAACATTTCAATATCATTTGGGCTGAAGAAAATAGGAAAAAAGCAAGAAAATAATAAAAAAAAACAAAACAGCAAAATTCTCATTTCTCTACTAGGATTTTATTTTATTTTTTTTTTTTTTTTTTTTTTATTTATTTACAGATTCTAATACATACTTATACAATACAAATATACATTTTCTGTAAATTTTTTATAAGAGAGAGAGAGAGAGAGAGAGAGAGAGAGAGAGAGAGAGAGAGAGAGAGAGTAGAGCAAGAGAGAGAGGAGGGCGAGAAGGGATAGTAAGGAAAAAATTACAAAAACAGATTCTTCCAGGGTTTCCAGGCTTCGTCAAAAGTCAACTGATTATTGTTTTTATATGCAATATACTTGTTTATTTCATACATATATTTGATGGAGGATATCAGTTCATTCAAGGAGAGGTATTTACCACTACATCTCATTCTGTAGATAAAATATTTAATCTGAAGAGCAATGAGATATTTTATTTTGTCTAATTTTGCAAAAGATCCCAATATGAATTCTTTTTTCAAATATACAACATTAATATGAATCTTTCTAAAACAATAACTATCAAAACTATTCAATAAGTCTTGTACTACTTCACATTCCCAGAAGATGTGTTCAATAGTTTCTGTCTCAGTTTCACAAAAAGAACACTTGTATGAATCTATTTTCTTAATTTTATGTAAAAAGGAATTTGTTGCTAATATTTTATGATTAATGCGGAACTGAAACCACTGAAGTTTTGTATCTTTTGTGAGCTTAAAAGGAAATGAAAAAACTTTTTTCCATTCACTATCATTCAAGTTAAAAATTCTATTCCAGCTAGTCTGACCTAAAGGCTTGATATCATTGCTTTTCAAAATTTCATATAAATTTCTTGATTTCTTCGCATTTAATAAACGGAATGTTTTTTGTGTAATATATGGCATATACACAGTTGGCATAGAAATTATATTTTTGGTTTTCATCCATTCTCTGATAGCAGCTATAAGTCCATTGTACTCAAGAAAGTTTGTATGGATTCCATATTTCAATTTAAACATATTAATGTCCATAAAGGAACCGTCCTCTCTTAAGAGATCATTTACGAAAAATACATTATTTTCAAACCATTTCTTATAAAAAATTGTTTTCTTGCCAATCAGTATATTTTTATTAAAAAATAGTGGTTCCATAGAGGCACTTGCTTCTGGTTCTGGTAATTTTTTAGAAAAAAATAGCCAGGCTTCTAAAACATTTTTCCAAAACATATTTTTTACATCTTTAATTTTCTTGAGAAATGTATTCTTCTCCACAAAAAACTGTTTTTTTTAAATCTAAAGTTAGATATGAATATTTACCTTGCAGTATGACATTTTTCATCCATACAAGTTTCAGAGACATAATAAACTCTTTAATACTAATCATCTTGAAACCGCCATCTTTAAGATCTACTAAAATCTACTAGGATTTTAGATGGGGCTCGCAGTTGGTATAATTTTACCCTAAACAGACTTCCTGGATTGTTTGTAGTGACTCGGGGATAACCACGATTTCATTGATCACGCAAAGAGAGCACGTTAAAAATATTGTAACACGCTCCTATGTGTACATATGAGCTTGAATTAGATTGTTTTCAAGTTAAGATGTAAGGGGTAGGGTCTGATTAAAATTATGATATACCTATTAATATGAATAACATGCATTTGATCTGCGCATCAAGACAGAAGCGTAAGTGAAAACGTTGTGAAATGTCCCATGTGTACCTGCATCATATGTGCATTATACATGTATTAAAGAGATGTTTGAAAAATATCCGATTTGAGTTGTTTTATGTTTGAAATGAATGGCGATAAATTATTTAAGAGCATGTGAGAAACATGAGCGAGAGATGCAAGGCAGTTTGTAATTATAGAAAAGGAAAACGGAGAATCGGATTCGGATTTTGGAGCAGGAAATCATGCGACCGGAAGTGAATTTTACTGAGATATTATACATTACTGTAGACGTTTGCAGTCTGCATAACATATCTAAAGGTCATTACAAATACTTTATCTATAAAAGGTATTTATGGGAAAGAAAAATACTCAAATCATGTAGTTTTTCTCTTATAACCGGAAGCTGTCGTTGTTGTTTCCGGTAAGACTGATATATTTTGAAACTACAAATTAAATGCTATAATGTGATGCAAAAAAAGTTTCGTTAAAGAAAAGTTGAAATTTTTGATTTCTTAGATCACTTCCTGTGACGACCGGAAGTGACGACTGGCTACGGTCTTATTCCAACTGAATTTGCCTACTTATCATGATCTACCACTTATTTAAGTTTGGTGTCTTAATCTCTAACCGTTTACGAGATCTAGCTATGATAACTTCTCATTTTGAGGACAGGAAATCACGCGACCGGAAGTGAATTTTACAAAGATATTTGACGCTACTGTAGTCATTTTCAGTTTGAATAACATATTTAAAAATCATAACAAATACTTTATCTATAAAAAAATATTTATGGGAAAGAAAAATACTGAAAATATGCAGTTTTTCTCTCATAACCGGAAGTTGTCGTTTTTGTTTCCGGTGGGACTGATATATTTCGAAACTACAAATAAGATGCTATAATGTGATGCAAAAAAAGTTTCATTAAAGAAAAGTTGAAATTTTCGATTTCTTTGATCACTTCCTGTGACGACCGGAAGCGACGGCACTTTTTAACCCAAATGGACATGCCTCTAATCATGATCTATTACTCCTATAAGTTTGGTGTTTCATCTCTAACCGTTTCTGAGATATGACCAGGACAAAATCTTTTTGAAAAAAGCGGAAACTGGACATATCTGACACCGGAAGTGCATTAAAACAAAATGAAAGTTACATTTTAAAGATATTTTGACTCTCTATCATCCCTGAAAATTTCATGAAATTATCCAGTCATCTATGAGAAATTGTCAAAAATAGAAAAGGGAAAAAAAAGAGAAAATAGAAAAAGAAACAGTAGAATCACTATAAAGGTCTTCCGTCGAAACGGAAACCTTAATAACTAAAACTCTTGTTGCTACAGCAACAAATAAGGTTTCCGTTCTCCTCTTTTTTGTAAGAAGAATTTTTTTGTATTTAAAAAAAAACAAAATGCAAAAAAAAAAAAAAAATATCAATTCCCCCCATCTGGCCC